ACGTCGCCGCCGAGGAGCACCGCGTCCGCGACGTGGTCGTTGTCGCCTTCATCATCTCCTCCACCGACAAAGGCGGCGCGTGCACGCACGAGCCGGAGTGATTTGAGCGCCGCCGCCGGCGAGGCCGAGGGTGCCGAGCATCGACACGGCCCTTAGCCGCAGACGCTGGATGTCGACGGAGGGCAGCAAGAAGCTCCGCCGCGCTTGGGCGTCGGCGCCAACCCACACCAAAGCAGGCTCGAGCGGGGCTCACATGCGCTTGTGCCACGCTGTCCACGCCACGTCGGCCAAAACCTTGTTCCGATGAGCTATGGACCTAAGTGGCATACTTAAACAACATTAGGATGCCAGAAGTACGATTTAAGAGTTTGTGAACCTAAGTGGCATCCCAAGACAAGTTCAAGGGCCTACGATGCATATTACTCTTTTTATAACCTTGTGGTTTCTGGTTTGGTAGAGTGTGAGTGATAGACCGTCGACCGTGGGTTACATGGGGGCGAGACTGCGAGAGGGTAGTCACAGCATCGGGGTTACGGGGTGTCGGGGTTTTCCAGGTTTGTACTGGTGTATATACTTATGCCATACGAGAGTATATATAGTGAAAATTTAGATAAAATCACCGTTTTAACATTGTAAGGAATATATTTGTACTCTAATGTAGCAATGCTCATGTTGCGATGTCCTAAGAGTCAAACTATGCTTCTACCAAGATGTCCTAAGAACCAAACTATGTTCTCCCATCCCTAAATAAATCAATTCATAGAATCCGTAACTTTATAGAAAAGATTATCGGAAATGCTATACAACAACCGGATGTTTTACCACCCGGTGGCACCCAATTTTTTTTTGCCGCAGAACCGCACATCCGCCGCGCCTGCGCCCGCCCGTCCATGCGCCGCCGTCGTTGTGCTCGCCCATCCCCGTGCCGCCGCCGCCACTGCGCCCGGCATCTTCCTCAAGTCCAGCGAGCTTCTTCCCCAACTCCAGCGCCGCCACCAAATTTGTCTATGTCCTTTCATAGAAAAAAATTTGTTACTTGTGACTTGTGATTTGTTGCTTCTGACTTGTGATTTGTGATTTATTGCTTGTGATTTATGATTTGTGCCAAGGAGGAAGAGAAGAGAAAAGGAAGATAAACAGTATCCATGAAAAAAAAATAGGTGTTCCCGGGTGTTAGACAGACAAGCTCAAAGATTATAGAAAAGAATAACAATATCTGTAACATAAAATGAGCACCTTATGAAAATATATTCTATGGTAAATCTAATGATACTAATTTGATACCATAAATCTTAACTCTTTTTTTCTAGAAATTTGGTCGAAGTTTAAAAAGTTTGACTTAAGACAATTTTATAAAATCTATTTATTCAGGGACAGAAGGAGTATATTATATGGGCTTAGAGCAACTCTGCCAGATTAAGAAAAGAGACTGTTTTTCTATTCTTGCATAAATAGGGTTGAGTTACAAAATCCTAGCTCCAACTGATCGTCTTTTTACTTCTTTTTTTTCCTGATTTTTTCATGTGAAAAATTCTTTTTTTTTCTCGAATACTCAAAAGATTCACGTACGCGCTTCTGACAAGAGGTCATTCTCAATCAATACCTCAAAGAAAGGGGAGAGAACCTCAATCCTCTCTCCCTTTCCCCTCCGCGCCAGGCTACCATAGTTGTATGAGAGGTGGTGGTGGTCGTGTCCGTTGGCTATCGCACTAATCTGGTGAGCCATGACGCCCCCCAACCAGCTATCAAGGTAGAACTCTAGTATTTAAACAATCTACTCTACATTCGTCTGGAGAAAGATGCAATTCTACCTCTATCTCTGTTCCAATTTTTAAAGCAAGTTTATAAAACTGAGTGTCTATATTTATAACATAAAACATGATGAAATGTATCTCACGGCGAATCTAGTAGCACTTATTTGGCATTACATTTTTTATATAAATGTGATCAAACTTAAAATCTGATTTGATACTATATTAGAATTGTATTTTTTCTAATAGGAGGGAGTATTTATTATTGCTATGATAGTAGTAATGGGCAAGGTGATGTAGCAGTTTGAATAATTCTTGTTGTCTTTCTGTAGTTTTTGCCCACCCGCGTTTCTTTCGATGAGGGTTCAACATGCATAGGTTTGCTTTTTCATGAGAAAAAAAGAGATATAAAGCCATTGACATCTCCATCTGCTTTTGTTTCTTTTACATAGGTCAATATGCTGCTGACAACTCGGTATCACTATCACCTCTGTTTCTAAATATAAGACATTTAGGATGTTTTTTTTTTTGGAACTAAGTAGCTTGCTCTAAATATCAGATGTATAAAAATGGAAGGGGTATATATAGTAGTACTTTGCTTGGCTCTAGTTAAGTCTCGGTCTCAAAAAGTGGATGCAGTTCTAAATTGGGTCAAAGTCGATCTATCTTAAATTTAACTAAATTTATAGAAAACAATATCAACACTTCGATACATATTTAAGTATGATAGTTATTATTATTTTTATACAAATTTGGTTAAATTCCAAATTACATGACTTACCCCACTATTTTAGAATACATCGTGTCTACAAACATAGGAAGTAATACACTAGCTTCCATTGTCACTAGAGATCAATACACTTACCAGGGGCGAAGCTACCACATATGTATTTTTCATAACACAAGTGTATGCACCTATAAGGCAAGTGCATCTCTTCAATTTTCTTAGCTATGGATTGTAGGCAACGTAGGGATAAGCGGGTGGTTTTAGGATGAGATGCCCATAGTACTCTCTCTGATCAACAAAAGCCGACATCTGCCTTGTTCGCTTGGCTTATAAGCCGTACTTTTTCGGTCAACGAACAGTATTTTTCTCTCACAACAAATCAGCCAACAGTACTTTTAGTCATGGCTTATCAGCCAAGCGAACGGGGCAATCGATCTCAGACAACATAATTGATATTAGCCCTCGCTGATCCAAGCAAACCCTTAATTTTGGTGGTTAGTGACCATTTTCTATAGTTTCACGTGGTGCGAGCATAACAGTACTCCTTGTTAATGTATTGTGTAGTTCTCTTGTGTGTTCGGGCTTCAGGGGAAAAACAAGCATAAAGAGACCGCATATAGTATCAAACAGGACAATGAAGTTAAAAACGAGATGCGGGCAATTCACGAAACTGAATTTCCATAAATACAAATTAGCTATTCGAAATTACTTCAGACCGTTCACTATTCATAAACCTTGCAAGCATTGTTTATAATTCAAAAACTTCTTACTAATTCACAGTAATACATGTCCCTCAAAAAAGGGAATAATTCCTGGGCGCAGGCATATGCGTTCGTTCACAACTCACAAGCGGCAGTGCCCGTCAACTTCGTGCCTGCCTAGCAACTTCGAGAGGTAGGGTAGAAGCTGTCCATCCTACCACGGTACCCAACCATTGTACCTCTCCTCCACCACCGGCTTTGGCCGCTGATCTCCGATGACGCCGACGGGCTTCTTTTCCGGTACAGGCACAGCGCTCTCTAGTTCTTCCATGCAAGGTTTGACACTCGTGACGACGAAGTTCTTCGGCGCACAGGCAACAGCAGCCTTCATCGGCTTGGGAGGCAGCGGAAGGCGGCGGAACACCACGGGGCACGCGAAGGTATCGATCAGAACAAGGACACGGGCGCCGCCCCGGGCGATGCGCGGGTCGGCGCAGGCCGCGGCCACGTGCGCGCATATCTGCTTCCGGGACGCGACCACGGCGCCGCGGTCGAACGGGTGCGCGACCAGCGGGAGCACCTCCTCCGCCAGAGCTCTCTCCACGCTCTCGGCCCCGCGCAGCTTGCGCGAGGGCCGCCTGCGGAGGGCGATGTCCTCGGCCACTTTCACAGCGATGAGGGTGCCGCCGCCTGGGCTGACGACGGGGAAGTGCCTCCGGATGACGATCCTCACGTCCGCCGCCAGTGCGGGGGGTTGGTGTCGTCGTGAACCTGCTTGTTGTCGACCGCTGCGGTTCGACGACGATGCCGTCGAGTCTGTGGCGAAGAAGGTGGCGACCTGCAAGCGGCTGGCGAGACGAACCGCCGGGACGCCGCCGGGAAGACGACGATCCATCTTGCTTGAACGGATCGAGTGCGCGGATGATGGATCGAGGAAGCGGACGAGATCGATGGCATCATGTATATACTAGGCGTGGCCGGAAAATTGATGGTTCCCTGGTTCGACTCGGAAACTGTTGCCGATCCCGAATCACCCAATCAGGTGTACTATGTTTCGGAATAGGAATAGGCTGCTTGTGGATATCTGATGAGCCATCGGAATGTTTGACATGTAAAGGTTTCGATTTTGTTGTCCCAAGTCACATTCATTTTGCCGATGTTTTAATCACCGTGATGGTGTTTGATGCAGCAGCCTGAACTTTTCATTTTGTTTCTAGGGAGTCAGGAAGATATCTTATCTGAAGAATGGTGCATCTCACCTATATGGCTCAATTTGTTGAAACACCAACTGAATTGTAGTGGTAAACTCGGGCCCAATTGTAATATGTACAATGTGCTTTCTTATTTGAAAGATATATATGGTTCTCCTGAATACAAGCATGTTATATGAAATGCAAAGCGAACAGAGTGTACATCTGTGTTGACAACTACAAAGCGTTGATGACTGAATGTTTGTATGCCACAGCCTGAAATGGATAAGCTCTTTTTTTCTTAGCAGAAAAAGGATAAGCAGCTCATTGTCTGCAATAACCTTGTATCAGTAAGTATTACTATATTTGAAATCGAACAGAGAGGATCTTCTCAAACACATCATCTAGATGTTGCACTTAGTGTAGAAATTCAAACATTTGCATTGACAAGACCAAAGCGTTGATGACTGAATGTTTGTATGCCAAAATAAAATAAACTGCATTCAAATAGAATGCAGCTAAGTCTTACAGAGTGCTATTAATTCAAACCGGAAGTAAAATGATACATACAATTCAGTGACCCAAAATGATTATTTTTCATTGAAGTGTAACTTTCTAGCAGATTTGGACAATGTGGCATCTTGTTCAACTCCAATCAGAAGATCAGTAAGTCCACCTTGGAATAAAGGAACTGAAATGTTCGAAGATGACCCATGCATATCACTTGCAAACAACAGCATTGTGGCATTAGCTTGTCCGCCTTGGATAAACGGAGTAGCCACGGTTGAAGATTGGGAGAATTCCTTGCGTGGCATTAAAAAAGATCGCAATACTCTGTGTGTCTCTGAAAAAGTTCAGCGGTCTTCAGCGTCACTGTTCCAATTTTTTTTTTTTTGTCCTCCATGCCACTGCCGTGAGTTTGGGTTGTAACGCCGTCAAACTGCAGGGGTGAAAAGTTGAAAATACCCTTAAGTCTAAATATGTCATTAATTTTTTTGAGCATCTTAACGACTTCAAATGAAAAAACTCAAAACTAGAAAATTGTAGATCTCGTTGAGATCTATAATTTTTATATAAAAATTATTTTCATTTAATTTCGTAAAAAAAAGATATGATTTTTCTAAGATATATTAATCATATCAAATCATATTTTTTTGCGAAATTAAATGAAAATAATTTTTATATAAAAATTATAGATCTCGACGAGATCTACAACTTTCTAGTTTTGAGTTTTTTCATTTGAAGTCGTTAAGATGCTTAAAAAAATTAATGATATATTTAGACTTAAGGGAATTTTCGACTTTTCACCCTTGCAGTTTGACGGCGTTAGAACCCAAACTGACGGCAGTGGCATGGAGGGCACAAAAAAAATTGAAGCAGTGACGCTGAAGACCGCTAAACTTTTCCAAAGACACACAGGGCATTACGATCTTTTTTTAATGGCACACAAAGAATTCCCACTTGAATATTGGCCATGCACTTCATTTGCAAACATTGGCATTGCAGTGTTATTGGCAATGGTATCAGCAAGAAGGTCCTGTGTACATAATATGAAATTTTTTATAACAATTGCTAGTAGGTAAATAAAATATGAAAAGCAAATAATGAGCCCAAGTTGACGTTGACCGACTGTGTTAGTTCAGGTAAGGTTCTCGCCCGACCTCACCCCACTCCGGCCGCGAGGCGTTCGTTCATTTGCCCGAGAGCAGCTGGCTGCTACTGCGCTCCTTTCCCCACCTCCTACCCATCGTCGCCATTGCCAGGATCCTTCCTGGAATCGGCCAGTGAACTTTCCATCCAATCCCAAGCAAAAAACTCGCGGCCACTCTACAAGAAGCGAGCTCTCCATTCGCCGGATCTCTTCACAGCTCAGGATCTCTGCTTTCGTTCCGCCCCGTTCCCAAAACAAGTCAACTCCCCCCTTCTTGGCTCACGGCACCTCGTCGTCCATGGATCGGCTGAGTAACATGCTGGGGGGACCGACCGCTGAAGAGCATCTTCACGGCGCTCGGTCTCCCGGATAAAATCGGCGGCGCGGTAATCGACGCTCTCTTCTCCCGGGGCGCCCGCCTGTGGAACGTCGAGGAGGAGGCCGACAAGCTGCGGCGCACCAAGGAACGCATCCGCGCCGTGCTCGAGGACGCCGAGCAGCGCCGCTTCGTCGACCACGACTCCGTCAGGCTCTGGCTCCGGGAGCTCAGGGCCGCCGCCTTCGACGTCGACGCCCTGCTCGACAGCCTGGGCACCATCACGGCCGTGTCCAGGCTAGCGGCGGCCGAGCAGTCGCGGAAGCGGAAGCGGCTCTGGCCCAGCGTCGAGCTCGGCCCGCGGCAGCGGTGGGAGCTGGATGAGAAGATCGCCAAGATCAACGAACGCCTCGACGAGATCAACAGGGGCAGGAAAAGGTACAGGTTGCAAGCTGGAGACGGGAGTAGGACGGCGGCTCAGCCGATGCAGCGCCCGCGGTTCCTTGAATCTGCCGCGCATCGTGACGAGAGGCCCATTGGCCGCAACGAAGAGATGGAGCAGATTGTCCGTGCTCTGGTTTCTGACAGTGCAGAAATGGAGGTGATTTCCATCTGGGGAACGGCAGGCATTGGGAAGACAGCACTGGCACAGTCGGTTTACAAAGATCCTGAGGTACAAAACTTCTTCACTGACAAGATCTGGGTTTGGTTACCAGATAGGTGTGATATGAGGAAGGCCACCAAAACGATCATTGAAGCTGTGACCAGTCAAAAATGTGAACTTCTAAGCTTGGACATATTGCAGCAGCAGCTGCACGACCACCTACATAAAAAGCACTTCTTGCTGGTGATTGATAACCTATGGGCAGAGGGTTTTCAGTTCTGGGAATTTCTGAGGCCCTCATTGACTGGTGGAGCGATTTGGAAGCAAGGTTCTGATCACTACTCAACACGAAAGGGTGTCTAGGATGAGTTCCCCCATTCTAAACATCCATTTGGAGCGCTTGGAAGATGAAGAATGCTGGCAAATCCTCAAACTCTATGCGTTCTTGGGGTGGAGCAGCAGAGATCAGCATGGTCTGGAATCCATTGGGCGGAGGATTGCTGCCAACTGCCAAGGCTCCCCATTAGCTGCTAAATCTCTTGGGGTGCTATTGTCCGACACTCATGGAGACAAAGAACAGTGGGAAAGCATACTAGGTGAAATGCAGATTCTTGAAGATGACAAAAACACAAACAATATATTACCAAGTTTGCAGATAAGTTATCAGCACTTGTCGTATCATCTCAAACAATGTTTTGCCTTCTGTTCAATACTTCCTCCTGGTGTTGAGTTTGAGAAGGATGAGCTGGTTAGACTCTGGATAGCTGACGGTCTTGTTAAGAGTAATGGAAGGAAAAGGGTTGAGATGGAAGCAGGAAGATGTTTTGATGAGCTCCTATGGAGGTCATTCTTTGAAACATCCCACAACTTCCCTAATCAAAAGTTTAGAGTGCCAAGTTTGATGCTTGAGCTAGCACAACTTGTTTCTAAACATGAATCTCTAACTCTCAGCACTGAGAATTCACCTGTAGTTGACCATCCTGAGTGGATCCGCTATACAACCATATTGTGCCCGAAAGATGAGCCTCTTGCATTTGACAAGATTTATCACTATGAAAATTCGAGGCTCTTGAAATTATGCCCCACAATGAAACTACCCTTGAATCAGGTACCATCGGCACTTTTCTCGAAGTTAACTTGTCTGCGTGCACTAGACCTGAGTTACACTGAGCTAGACCTCCTGCCAGATTCTGTTGGGTTCTGTATACACCTCAGATACCTCAATCTTCGGAATACTCTGATAAAGACTCTTCCAGAAACAGTCAGCAACCTATTCAATTTGCAGACACTTGACCTCAGGGACTGCTATTGGCTCATGGATTTGCCTACAGGCTTGAGCCGATTAGTTAACTTGCGGCACCTTAGTTTACATATTGATTGGGATAGAGTTACTACTTTTAGATCAATGCCAAGTGGCATTGACCGTTTACAGTCACTTCAAACTCTTTCCAGATTTGTTGTGGTCTCCAGGGATGGAGGCAAGTGCAACATTAATGAGTTGAAGAATTTGAAGATCCGCGGAGAGCTTTGTATTCTTAATTTGGAAGCTGCCACTAATGATGGTGTCATGGAGGGCAATTTGCGCGGGAAGGAGTACTTGCGTGAATTGATGCTGAAATGGAGTGAGGACACCTGCAAGGACGAGCAGCAGCAGGGCATAGAGAACAGTGAGACGATCATTGAGGCACTCTGTCCACATACCAGCCTTAAGCATCTGCGCATCGAAAATTACCCTGGAAGACGATTTCCTTCTTGCTTCGAGAACCTCTCGGCTCTGGAATCCCTGGAGATAATTTCTTGCCCCAGGCTCACTCAATTTTCCGTGCAGATGATGCAATCTCTCAGGACTTTAAGGATACGTCAATGTGCTGATCTTGCAGTTCTTCCCAGAGGCCTGTGCAACCTAGAATCCCTTCATTGTCTGGAAACCGATGGCGCTCCAAATCTGAGAATAAGTGCAGTGGTCATATTGCCAAGAAACATCTCCCAATTGGTTGTAAGTGGATGCGATGCATTAGAGAGATGGTGCCTGGAAGAAGGCGCTGAGAGAGTGCAGCAAATTCCTGATGTAAGGATTCAATTGAGTAATTGATGCAGTGGAGTTATAAAGTTGGATATTTATGGCAATTTTCTCCTAGGCTCTTTGATGCGTCTGTCTGAATCGTGGTGTCAGTTCTTTTACCAGCTGAGCTAGGTTCCTGATTTAACATCAACTGTTGTGCCTTCTGATCTGTTGATGTGTGAGGTATATCTGAACATTTGATTGGCTATTGGAATAACATTTGTACTCCCAATTGAGATTTATTTCCTTGATCAAATATGTGGAGTATATGATATATGATGTGCCTGACAACGCGTTGAAGTTTTGCTAGATTTATATGCACGCTCAATGGGCGCTTGTATGATGAGTTCTGCTGTTTGCACTTTGCAGTCTAGGTTTACTTTGGGGTGGGGGTCTGAATATGTCAAACCCTGAACAACAATTCAAATCTTTGAGTTGTTTGAATTCTATACATGACTATGTTCTGTTAAGTTTTGGCGAGATGTGGAGTGACATCCACAGCAGTTGCTAACACTCGCGGTTGGAGTATTATTGTGAAAAGGCTCTAATGAAACAGTTATGGTGTCATCAATGATGCATACCATAGTATAGCTTGTCATGAGGCCTTAGGAACAAGAAAAAGTGGTTAAGGGAATATGTACCCGGATTTAACAATGGTAGTCAACAGCAATAACCATTTAAAGTAGTTAACTCCTAAGACAACAGGCCAAGTGTGCTGCCAAACACATTGACATTAAGTTATATGTTGTAAAGGAGAAAATCCATAATCATTTTGAAAGCATCTGAGCATATAAGTACCAAGCAAGGACTTGCGGATCCGCTTACCAAAGGCTAACCACCCAGTGCGTTCAGAGAACACACAGTTGACATGGGTTTACGGGAAAGCCTATGATTTCTGGATACTAAGGGCCTAGTTGAGAATCTGTTTTAAAACAGAAAGGTGCATTGTAGCTGTTTAATCTAATGACAACTTACCGTGACGATAAGGCACACTCTATTCACTGATCTGCGATAGAATGGGAAAAATATAAAGTTAAGTTTAAGTCCTAAGGTGAGATCAAGGGGGAGAATGTTAGATTGATCTCCACCAGTTGGCCCAACGGCCAATTGGGCCCTTGATCCGCGCTCTGATCGGAGGCGTCCAGCCGTTCTCCTGGCTGATGGGCCCTCGTCGCATAGCGCTATAAATAGGAAGGTGGGGGCCAGGGCTCAAGGTACGAGGTTCATCGTAACCGCCAGCGCCCCACTGAGGTTACTAGCTCTAGCCCGATCTATAAGGGTGCGTTGTAAGCGACGGGAAGTCTACACCGCCTTCACCGTCGACACTGGTCCGCGCCTACACTGCTGCTACCGTCGACGACCTAGCGGGCGCCTGCGCGGCTTTCCCTGCCCCGACACGTCGCGGCCACCTTGTTGGCGAAGGGCGCCACGGCCACGACTGCACTCGACAAGGTATATTACCAAGTCTGCTTATCTAAGTAAAGAATTTCTCCACTGATCTGCACCTAGAGGTTCTACAAGTCTATCAATGAGGAGAACGGCTGGACGTCCCTAATCAGAACGCGGATTAAGAACCCAATTGACCGTTGGACCAACCAGTGAAGATCAATCTAGCATGTTCTTCACTGCTCTTCGTGGATCCATTCATTCCAACCTCCGTGATCTGATTCCTGGGGAAGTCCGGAACTCCTTATTCAGTCTATTCACGTGGGGTATTCTTTTTTTTAGACAAATTCATGTGGGATATCTGGCTCGAACGAAATGCAAGGATCTCGAAGCAGTCAGGCCAAGGCAGAGCAACTTCTTTCTGAACTCGTAAAGAAAAACGGAAGCTTCCGTTTGGGCGGAGCAGCTTTTTTTTTTTTTTTCTCGACCGCGCTCAACTGAGCTCGTTTTTCGTTAGGAGGGTAGCAAGAATTACAGAACGCAAGCCACGGCTTGCAACACATAAGGTCAAACGGAAGAGAAATGAAAAGCGGTAAGAATCAGAAAGACACTATTACACTAAACCATTCGGCGACCAGGGCGGAGCAGCTTAATTGTAACATGAAAAGATACTCTCCCTATTGCAGAATGAACCCCTACACGGTAGTCTTGTTCTCATCTTGCTAAAACATTACAGGCACGTTAGCCTATGTAAACAATTCCTACAGCCTGATGTTGTCCTTTGCAATCTCTGCGCACCCGTTTTTGCCAGAAGCATTTCCGTACAAACCAGCCTCACAAAGATCGAAAACACCTCCGAATCCTGAGGAACAGAAAGCAGAAGAGAGGAACACAGAAGGCCCCTTTTTTTCAAACAAAGAATGCAGGCGACCTCAAAGGTCGCGCAAGTAGTGTGCAGGCCGAATGCTGTCCGGTTACGTACTAGCCCACTTGGGCGAAAGAGCCCAACACCGTGAGGCGGGCCGCGGGGTCGACAGCAACTCGCACGGAAAACAACAATAACGCACGCAGGTTCGGCGCAGGCTCCATTTACGCCCGTGTTTGTTCGTTTCCTTGTGACTTGTGAGAAGAGGCACATGAGCCATCAGTTATGAGCACATGCCGTGGAGCTGCAAGTCGCAGATGTGGCGCAGGAAACTGTCAACTTTGCACGGCGATGCCTTGTCCCCTTCCCTGCGCTGCGCCACTGAAAGCGAGTTCTCCTACTAGTACTACCTGGTGGACGAGAAACCATGTAGTAGCGGCCACAGGACTACAGGGGCCGCTGCCAGCCACTTGCAGGCAGAGGACGGCTCCAATGCCTCGCAGAAACGGCACACATCCTAAACGAACAAGGATAAAAAAGATCCACTGAAACTGAAAGCGAGAGCGAAGCGAAAGCTGGGCTGGAAATGCACTGCCGTGCGGAGCCACTGGGCAAAATCGTGGTCCAAGTGGATTGGGAATAGGATTGTACTACCACAATAGGAGGAACCCACAGCGCGAGCTGCCGTCAAAGCAAGGCTTGTACGTAGAGTAGGATCGGCGACTTGGTGGCCATCTGCCGAACCCCGAGCTCGTGACGCCAGGCCAGGGCCAGGGGAATCCTGACGTTGCTCGCGCATCGCCGCGGAATATGCCCTGCCAAGAAGGCCAGCTTGATGGATCCGTCAGTCGCCGTGAACAGCACGCCCGCGTCGGCGTCGGCCTCGCTATCCGCCGGGGCCTCGGCGAGAGCGGGATCAGCCGTCCCCACTGATGGAATCTCGGATTGCCCGGCGGCATCTCGTCCCGTTCGTCAGCGACGGCGCTCGCACGCACGCTACGCGGCTACAGTTCCCAAGGCAAAGTTCGTCTCGCAAGTTGCAGGGGGAGGGAGGCCGCCACCGCAACGCCAACGCGTGTGCGCATTGGGTTGGGTCAGACCGAGGCCGCGACTCCTCCGGTCCTCCCTCCCTCGCGGATCCATTCACGAACTGGCGACTTGTGGTCGGCCATCTGATGAGGAGAGGAGGCCCATGTCGCGTGGCGTGACACATCCGCGTGTACAGGAACCAACTGACGAGTGACGAGGCAATCTCCGTCGATCTATCTCCAGGTCCTTTTACCAGAAACAGATCGCGGCGAGGCCAACTCCGGAACCACCGTCGAATCGAACCAGGCTGGACGCAGCGGTGCGGACGCTGAAGTCGCGTCGGTCACTCGTCGCACGGCTGACGCAGCAGCCGCGGCGCTGCCAGCCCCTCTCCCACCTCCTACCATCGCATCCATCTGTTGCTTTCAGGCAGCCAGAGCCTGGTAGGCAACCATCCGGCCAACCCAGCCACGCCACCATCCCACTTCTTGGTCCCCATGGAAACGCTTCCAGCTTCCTGTACTAAACCGGGTTTCGCTTCGCATTCGTATCAAAACCAGCACGGATTCGAACCAAACATCCTCCACGACGACAAATTCTACTACCACCATCTCATGGCCACCTCCCATCCTCTCGCTGTCCCCGTGGTCGGCACTGTACGCCCGGCCCGGTTCAACAGCCCCAGCCCCGTGACCTCGCCATCGTACGCCGCACCTAGCCGGGAAAACAACGGTGTGGCCAGTGACGACGGGCTCGCTCGCTTTCAATTCACCAGTCACCACTCACCAGCGAGCTCTCCCCGTCGTCCAGCGTGGCATCTGGGCAGCTGCCAGGCCCGCCGTGCCATCATCACGCACGTCGAGATCGACCGGGAAAGCATGGCTGGGTTCAGTTGATCGTGCCTCGTGCGCTTTGTTAGGCGTGTCCATGACCCAATCGGTGAAGCGGAGACCGTCCTCCGGCAGTCAGTCCATGGACCGATATGGCATCCCACACACACGTTTTCGATGAACCGATTCTCTGCTTCTTTTGAACCCCGCCCATTTGGCCAGTTTGTTAGTGCCAGTTGAGCGTTGAGTCCAAACAAATCATTGGGGCCTCATCTATTTTAATCTAAGCTACGGCATGGAGACCTGCTCTTTCGTTTGCCTGGTCCATGAAGCTGGAAGGAAAAAAGAAGTCGTACTACAATAAAGAATCAAGCGCCTAAGCATGTGTTTTAAGCGGCTTAGTTTGCCTCAGAATATTGGTTAGTTAAACAGCAGTGCTGGTTTATTCCTCTGCTTGATCCGCACCTATGACCCATCACCATCATTGATAAGCTCAGCAATGGACCAAAAAGTAATAAAACACATAAAAGAAGAAGTAGGATGTAGAGTTGGAGCACTATAACCATTGTTTTAGGTTAACAAAAGTTATTATAATTGGCCGCTTGGGTGGCTAGCGAATATCAAAGGGGCAATTTGACCATTCCAAGTCACATCAGCCACCTGTCTTGTTTAACAATTAAATTAAAGGATTTGTTTAGGTGACATTCAGTTGTTTTATCCCTCTTGTCAACTGAATTTTTCCCTTGTATTTAAACCGTCTTATAGCTATATTTATATTGTCTTATTATTATATTTACAATAATTTTTCGGTGTAATTTATTGGACATAGTGATGTAATTTGAGGATAACACAACTTTTATTTCTATGAATTGCAGATTTCAGAGAAATATATGTCAAATTTAAAAAAAATTACAAACTAT